CAGTAGTCACTCTAATGTAATTTGCTCAACAAAATTTTGAATTTTGAATCTTGAATTTTGAATTTTTTTCCTTGGTCCGATCCATGATCCGATCCATGATCCGATCCGTGATCCGATCCATGATCCGATCCATGATCCGGTCTGTGATCTGGTCCATGATCCGGTCCATGATCCAGTCCGTGATCCAGTCTGATCCAGGTTTTGTCGATGCTGACTGCATAGTTTCTGAACAAGGTGAAGCTGGAGGTAGTTCAGTTGTTTAGTACTGTTAAAACCAAGGAATTCGAATTGATGAATTCATTTTAGAATCACTAGTCTTGTTTCTAAGAAAATATTCAAATGTCAAGTTAGTATTATTTGACAATTGATTGCCGATTGCCCTTCAATTGCTTTTTTCTATTTTATAATCTATTAAACAAACTGATGTTATCACACTGAGAGCTAAGAAGAATAACTTTTAAAAAAATGCTAGCATTGTCATACAGGTGTATGTACATTTGTATCACTGTTGATGGACTAAAGGGGCAGACTGAGATAGCTGATGTATTGGTTGTAGAGAGACTAGCTACGTCCAATAAATTAGCATTCATAGTTGATTTTCCTATTTTTTTTTTTTAAAGAAAATTCCAATTTTTCAATCATGAGTTTCCTATTTTTCTATTTTTCTGAACAACCATGCTGCAGACACCCTGTCTGTATCTAAATTAAACTTACATGTATGTTATTGACTGTATGACTGATTGAGAGTGCTTAATTGATCAGACTGAATTAATTGTTAATACTTCTTGGTCATTTTCAGTGATAACATTAGTGTAGGGTCATGCAAATGGTTTTAATATACACTGTAGCACATTTAATAATAACCAGTGCATTACAATACAAGCTTTGCTGTGACCTACAACTGTATCAACAGCCATGTGCAAATTATTAACTTACTTTAACCACACACGATTAAATAATGCACCTGATCATGAAAAGACATAATCAATTGCCTGAAGATACCAAAGGATATATCAAATTATGATATTGTTTTGCCGGTCCCACTTGTTATAACAATGATAATACTAATACTAATACTACCACTACCACTACCACTACCACTACCACTACCACTACCACTACCACTACCACTACCACTACCACTNCTTTTGTCCCTTTAACTACACTTAAATTTGTTGATGTATGATTGAAACTTCCTTAGATCTTCTTCGGTCGTCTTCGGCAATCTTCGGCAACCTTCAGTAATCTTCAGAAAATGTTCGGAAATGTTCTGAAAATGTTTGGAAGCATTCGTCTGGCCTTCGGAACAATTAATTAGTACTATCCTCTATATAATTATTGTTTTGCCAGTCCCACTAAAAAACACTAGTATTAAAAAAATCAGAGTTTCATCCAAAAAAAGAAAGGAATAGATGGCTGCCTCTGCAGTTTAATAATAATTATAATAATAATCACAATCACAATCACAATCACAATCATAATCATGAAAATAAATTTTTTATTAATAATAAAATAATCTAATAAAGCTTTATTAAAATATTAATCCTAACAATTAGATAAATCAATGCAGAATATTCACAGAACAAAACAATGTGGTACAAAATATTTAACTCCTGAGAACTGAGAGTCACTCTGCTAAAATTCTGCTGTTCATCCAGTCAAATAGTTTAACATAATGATACAACAATTGAAGAAAAGGAATTTGATACACTCTGTTCATTAACAATTCCACAAGTTTACACAGCGGAAATTAATATTTGAGTAAATACGACCGAAAAGCTAAAAAAGAAAAAAAATTGACTTGCTCCATTTAAACTCACTTCCATCAATGGTAAAGAAAAAAAAGCTAAAAGCTAAAATCTTAAATAAATAACACCAGTATTAAAACAAGTAGAGTTTCGTCCAAAAAAAGAAAGGAACTAAAAGATGGCTCCCTCTGCAGTTTCATGATAATAATTAATAATGATAATAATAAAAATAATACTGGTTTGATATCAGCATATCCACTAAGGTGGCTCTTCATCTGATATAAACTACCTAAAAAAATTAAAATTACAATTTATGAATCAATGAAAAGAAAGATACTAATTTACAAATATATAGAATTGTGTATAAATGTATAATAGTATGTACATGAGAAAATTGAAAAATAAAATGATATTTATTAAGATGACTTCTCAGATAAAGCTTGGTCTTCTTGCAAAAATAATTAAAATCGGAACTGTTTCTGATATAAGAGGGAAGGCAGTTGAAAAGCTTAGCGATGCTGTCCTGAAAGGTGCCTTTCTCCTGTGGTGTAACTAATTGTTTGGTGGTATTTGAACACAACAGGTGTGTCTGATGGACTTCATTAACCTTAAGATTAGATGGCCATGATTTGAATTGCAAGGCCTTAAATACAAGTTTAAGTACATGAAACTCCCTTCTTTCCTTCATTGGAAACCAGCCTATTTTTAGGATGTCATTTGTGTCTCTAAAATATCGTCTGGTGACATGGAAGCAAACTGTAAATGCAGAAGCTTGCCTCTTCAAAAGAAAGTTGGGTAGTGGATAGAAAACTGTGTCATAAATTTAGAAATCAAAACATTATTATAATGAATAGTCCATATAACCTCAAAAATAATATTTCATAAATTTAGATAGTACTAACCAACCTACATATTAAACTTTTCATAGACTTATCTAGATAAACTCACTGAAGAAGCAATGAAGGATATTAACATCTGCTGCACAATTGACAGTAAAACTGGAGAACCATGTAAATGGGTTGGACAAATCAGGCATTTGGAGGTACAATGTAACTACTGCACATTTATTAAGAAATGTTGACTAGTTATAAAGGATGTTATTACAAGTACTGTAGCTATTATTGTTTTTTTAATTATTTTGTTTTAATAATCCTCATGTTGTGTTTCTTTTCTGGAGGCATCCCACATTTATTTGCACAACATGATAACCTTCAAAGTTGCGAGCTGTTCAGTGTGTTGAACTTCCATCCCTTTGAAAAGTTTTTCTCTTTTTTAAAATAATTTTGGAGAAACATCCATTTCAAACATGATAGCCCTGGATGTGACACAAATGTTTGTGTCCAGAAGGACGCACTCGGAAGTCATTTATGCATCTTTCCAGACATTTTACTCATCAGAGAGATGGGAAGTGCAGGTAGTCAGATCACTACAAAATTTGTTGTAGAAACAAAAAAGTAACCCCAAGGTTTTCAAAATGTACATGGACTTGTAAGCAAAAAAATACCACAATGTAAGTTTTTAATTGTTAACTCTCGTTTAGGTGCATATGGATTTACATCATAAGGGAGCTCGAGAGGCAACTGCTCAGGTAGATTGAAATGTTTTATTCTATTGGACTGGATTAACTGGTCAATAATATTGTTATTTGCTTTTATAATAATGACTGAGTATATTCTGAGTATATTACAAGGCGTGTTTATGCTGAGTAATTTTGTATGAAAGCCTGATGAAGTAAGGATTTACACTACTCGTGATATTTGAAAATTCTTTCAGATTGTACTCGCTTGCATAAAGGCTTGTGCAATTTTGGGAGAATTAAATTCAAATATCACTCTTAAAAAGTGTACGTCTAGTAAATCCTTTTTAAAATTGCACTTAAGATTGCATTTATACTAATTTGAGCAAAATCATTCATAAATTTCTACATCAATATAGCTCTAAGAATTTTGTCATTTATCGTAGATAGACTCTAACTCACACAGTAATATTGTACATGTACCTGTAACAAAATTAACTTATTTTAATATCCACCTTTGCAACAGAGCCCCTAAACAATGAAAAAGTGACAAAGTTCGTAGTGCATGCAGCAAGACATCACATGATATATTAGCAATAAGTTATTAATTTTGCAATTTTAAAGTCAGGGGCACATAGTAACATATTCGTGCATTTTGTTTTGATTTTACAGGATTTGTAGAAACCATGTCAGACTGTGATTTTGTGATGCAAACGCTCCTTATATATACAAACCATACAAGCCTTCAATTTTCAATCACTCTTTCTACTTTCATTTGAAACTGAAGATTTAAGACCTTAAACTGTTATAACGACAATAACAAAAAAGAACTGCACTCACACACTACAACTCGACACAATGAACTTCTTAAACTTTTACTTATTTTTATGAGCAAAAATGTACTTTAAATTTGACCACGCAGTTTTAAGCTTCCATAAGTTTAAGATTGTTCACTTTGACTTGGTGATGGTGTTAAGCAAATGCTGAAATGTCGTTGCTAATTTTAACCAAAATGGTTTCAAACTTTTGATCTTAATATTATTATCACAATGTTTAAATAAATAAATAAATTATAATATGTAGAGAGGAAGCCACATCAGCCTTAGCTGGTTTTTGCGCAGGTCCTCTCTCCCGGTTGAATTAGAATTTGGAGTGTTGGTTTTTGTAGAGGGAGGAACTGCAGAGAACCCAGAGAAAACCCCTCAGAGCTAGGCCAGAACCAACAAACTCAACCCCCATATGGCACTGAGCCTGAATCGAATCTGAGCCACTTTGGTGGGGGGCAAGTGCTCTCACCACTGTGCCATCCCTGCTCCCCATAGTGAAAAGTGAAAAGTGAAAAGTGAAAAGTTTAGAAAAGCTCACCAAAAAAGAGACAAACAGCATGGCCGTCACTCACGTCACTCACCTACATGTAGTAAAAAGCTGAGAGACTAAACATGCAGTTTTATCGTGTTAACGCGTGCAGACATTGTAATTCCTCAACATCGAGGCATGATTCTCCCTTTTCTGTGATTATCTGTGACCATACTGGATCTTAAAGAGGATCTAATCATTGACTCGAGTAATTATGTCAGCACTATAGGTTATCAAACAAACTTAAGTCATTGCGGAGAATGCTGCAGATTGTTGGGTCCCAAGATTTATTATGTATTATAATAAAAATATCAGATATCTTGTACTATATGCAATACATATTATAAGCACTAACCTACTTTTAAATGCCTCGTTGATCAGTACTTGTCAGATGTTTAAAAGTTTTCTAGCGGTTTTTTAATTGAGTAGTTTCTTAATAATGCAGAAAAATGTGAAATACGCATATCATTCTGCATCTTTAAGCAGGCACAGTACCAGGCGGAGAATTGCGCACAGCTGGGTCCTGCTCTCTTTCCCAGTACTGCTAAAGGTGCTGTTCCTGGTCCCTCTACCTTGCCCTTATTTGATCAGCCAGACGGTGAGGAATCGTGGAAGGAAGTAGCGCAGGGTTTGATGCACAAGGTACGTGCATGTGACCTTTTCCTCACTACCCATTATGTTTGATTTTGATGAGAGGAAGGACAGAGTACTCGAGAATCGACCATCAAATGAGTTGAAATGTAACAAGAAAAATATTACCATTGACATAACGTGAAATTATCGTGAATAGTTACGGTGTATGCGAATTCAATATCATCAGAATTAGTGAATAAACTTGCGCTGAATACCTATACTATAGACACGCCGTCTATCATTTTATGTTCTCAGCAACTTGTGGACCACAATGACATTCAGGAGTTAAAGCAACAATTTGAAGTGCTCTTAGGAGCATATAACACTGAAAAACACCAGCGTGAGCAACTAGAGAATGTGGTGGCATCTACAGCGGAAAAATTTCAACTGTTGGAACACAAGGTAATCCTCTGATTACACAAATTTTCTGTGTTAATTCTTTATTTCTGATTCTTTTTTTTTTTTTTGTTAATCAGTAACAACAACAATAAGTTATGGTAAAAGTGTTAAAGTTAAGATAAAAACATAAACCGTCAATATATGTTTCGTATTTTCAGCAAAGTATGGATCGCACCAATATTGACCAGTTACAACAGCAGCTTGCAGCATTTAGTGATGCAGTGGTTACTGAGAAACGGGAACGTGAGCGATTGCAGAATGAAATGAGAGTTACAGAGGGTCAAGTTAAAGTTCTGGTAATTCTTTTATTGTATGTTTATCTCGTCATTAAAACAAATATAAGCAATGCTATGATTTTTGCCACTAAGTCACTTGTACTATCTGCATTACTAAAATTGTAATGTAAATGTGGTTTATTTACCCACGAAATACGGAAGAGCCCTTATGAACTCACCACGAAGTGTTGAGAGACCCCGGGAACGAGGTTGGCGTCGAGATTGAATTAGAATTCAGATCGTTGGCTTTTGTATCATCATCATCTGTCCTTATTGCACCATGGAATGCATAAGGCCTTCACAGTCTCTCTCGAGCGTGAGCGATCTTGTGCCGCCTTCCGGTTTCGCCTCAGGTCAGATGTATGGAGTTAAGTTTCTTCTTCCAGGTTGTTTTAGGCCTTCCCTGTTGTTGGCTTTTGTAAAGAGAGGAAAACTTGAAAACGCAGAAAAAATCCTCGGTGCAAGAGCGAGAATCGATAACAAACTGAACGCACTTATGTCTCCAGGTCCAGGCTTAAGCTTGGCAACAATGGAGGGAAGTAACCTGCGTGCAGACGTCTACAATGTCCTTTGTTTCGCGGGTTTTGTAGGAACACTTTGCCATGATGGCCACTTGAAAAGAAGGAAATAGGAGACGTTTGCGTGCAGGCTAGGGGGAGGCGTTTATCTTTTAAGTGACAATCGAGGTGTAACTCTCATTGCGTCGATTCTCATTACGCTGGTACGCGTTTTACAACCAGCCACGCTGTACCTCATGTTTACAACAGGGATGGAGTGGCAGATTATTGTAACCTCAGTCATGCAAGGTATATAATTGTCTTCCTTGTGGCGCAAACGGGGCGGTTTTATGATTTAAGTTTTAATTTTTATCTCAGTTTATATCTGATGCACGAAATAACCATGGTTTGCTTTTCATTCTTCTTATGTAACGTCGGAGCTAGAATTTAAAAAAAAAAATGTATATTTGATGAAAAGAGATATGCTCATGAGAACATATGTATTCAAAGCCACCAAATGCAACTCACTCACCACGAGTCCAATAGTTGTACCTGGAAACAAACCATGAAACCAAATAGGTGAAAGTGACATATTTCATATATACGTATTCTTAGCAATCTATGGACCACCGTGAACAGCTGAAAGAGCAACTCGCGACCCTTTCTGATGCACTTGCTACTGTGTCACGTCAAGGTGAGGAGTTGCTACAGGAAGTAAGAACTGCAGAGGACAGAGTTGAAGATCTAGAACGCCAGGAACCTCTTTAATTTTATTTGTTTAGTATACTTGGCATATGTGTGGAATATCTGTAAAGTAGCGGGTACATTTTTTTTAGCTAGGCCATGTAGCTACGCGTATGTTCCACGTTAAATTAAGTATTGTATCGTATATCGTATCATGTATCGTATCGTATCGTATCGTATCGTATCGTATCGTATCGTTGTATTTTTCTTTTCTTTTATCTTTTTTTTCTTCTCGGAGATACTAGCACACAGGTGCTACTCTTCAGTTCGAGCATAAATAAAGTTTACTACAACTACTACTACTTTCCTTCTCGCTCTTTTTTTTCTCTTACATCTAAAACAACGGCAAAAGAAAACGAAAACTGTTGATTCTGCATTACAATTACAATGGCAGTTGTACAACACTATTTTCAGCAGCGTCGTGACCAAAATGCCACCGAACAGTGTAAAAGACAGCTCGAAGTATTTGCCGTAGAATTTGCTGAGGAAAAAAGGAAACACGAGCAATTACAGGACAATGTTGTAACTGCAGATGGCAAAATTCAAGTTCTAGAACAAGAGGTATAGTTCATTGATTTTATAGAATAATGTGTTTTTCTCATTTCTCTATTCATTTCTCTTTTCGCTGCCGCCTTCTATTCTATTTATTTCTTTCATTTTTTCGTCGACAGAACTAGGGTATCATAACTTTTGATGACGAGGTATACTTAACGCAGATGTGTTTTTCGTTACTTTTTTGTATTCAACTTTTAAATCATGTCATGACGGTACTTCTGACTCTCCCACCGACTCCTAGCTACTTCTGTTCGCAGTTTAGAGAACACGAAATAACGCATTTTTGATCAGTTTCTATTTGCTTTTTGTCAATTACTTCATCTAACATTTTAACCGATCCATCCATCCACCACCGACTGATGTTCTTACCACATTTTGACGTCATCTGTGATCTATTACTAAACAGACGCACGGCAACATGGGATCTATTTGTCTTACATATATGAAGAAACAAAAATGTTTATGACGTCATCTATGCGTCTGTCCTCCAATTGAATACAATCAACATAAGTAAGAACCAATCAAAATGTGAGAATAATTCGATATTATATAACTATACATGGATTTAATTAATTAATTAATTGGTTAAATAATTAATTAATTGGTTAAATAATTATCAACTGATTAATCCATTTTACGCTTCAGTTGGAAACTCAAAAGAATATGTGTGCCAGTGCCGGAGCAGAATGTGCTAGAGAGCGTGAAAGAGGAATTGAAACTCGAGCTCTAGAAAGTGGATTACTTCAAGAGTACATTGGGCGGCTTCAAAGTGGGCATCTTGATTCGCAAAGAAGTCTTGCCGACCTGGAAGTACAGTTTAGGCGCTTTGAAGATGAACGCCTGTAAGGTTTTGATGAAAGTTTGTAATGTGTATCAGTAATGAGCTCAGGAGTTAGAACATTGTAGCTCAATGTTGCAGACTTAATCATTAATCTAGGATCCAAGTGTACTTTGATCTGAGGAGTGAAGTGTCGAAGGCAGTTTCGTGTCCTTCAGGTGTCAATGGTTCGTTTTTCGAAGTGAGTCCTTTCAAAATCTTTTTGTTATCGAGAACTACATGGTCCAGTCGAAGTCTGTTTGTTGTTGGTCGAATTAACTGTTTCTATACATTTCCCCACATCAAGAACATGGTAGCTGGGGATAAGCTAGACTTACCCAAGTTTTCTTTTTTTTTGGAATTCTCGTGACCGAGAGCTTTATAAAATTATCTGTGGGTAATTTATTTCCAATTTATGAAAGCGCGCTCCGAGACTAGTACATTTTGTGCATGAAACGCGAGTCAAAGTGCTTTGGAACGTTGAGCTATTGCGGGTAACGTACGTTATACCAAAGCTGCGCTGAATCGCTTAGAAACAAAAGCGTACTTTACTTAATGTTCTGCCTGTATGACTTTGCAACAAATGAAAAGTGCCTGACACTGACATCCTCAGACGTCTTCTACATGTTCCCAAGAAATTATGCATCCCGTTATACTTTGAATAAAGTTTTTTCATTTCACCCTTTAAGCAAACCAGGGTGCGACGGGTTGAAGCGAAAGGTT